TGAATTTCTCTCTACAATTACAAATTTAATCATACTTTTTAAGGTTTCAGCATATTTGGAAAAAGTAGTTTCTTCTTCAGTCTTGGGAAAGCCTGTCTGTGGTGTGCCTGAGGCGACAGCTGTGGAAGTGACAGAAATTTCCTTGGGAGACAAATGATTTTGATGCTCAATGGTTCAGAACCCAGGGAGTTTACTTGCCTTTGAGACTGTGCATCATGAAATGAAACCAGAGGGGCCTGGTTCACAGGCACCAAGAGCCAAATTCCAAATTAGAGGCATCTGGTTAATGCAGCCGTAAAGATTGTGTAATACATAGTGAAAGTAGTCGCTCACCCTCAGAGAGCTGATACGTTCATGCTCTTTATAGGCTAAGTACTCAGTGAAAGAAAAAAAAAGAACTGTTATTTGGCCACCTTTATAAATATTTATTTTGCTATTTATTTGTATATGAGTAAGTGCATGTGTGTGTGGTGCCCATGGAGGCCAGGAGAGGGTGCTAGATCCCCTGGAGAGGGACGTATAGGTGGTTGTAAGGCCATCAATGTGGGTTCGGGGAACCAAATTTCAGTCCTTTGAAAGACCAGGAAGCGCTTCTTTTGATCCCAGAAGCATTTCTCCAGCCTTCCATCGTTATTCAGTTAGAATTTCTCACTGTGAACGGTGTGAATGCCTTGTTGGCATTTACCTTGGTAACAGTCACCATGCTACCTAGCACTTTGTGACTATCTAGTTAAAACAGCTAGAGTCTTTCTCTGGATCTGAAAAAGGGGCTGGCAGGGGCTGGAGAGACAACTCAGCAGTTTAAAAACGCTTGATGCTCTTCCACAAGACCAGAGCTTGATTCTCAGCCTCCACATTGTGGCCCACCTGTAATTTGAATTCCAGGAGATCTGACACCCTCTTCCGACCTCTGAGGGGACAGGGTACACACAGGGTACATAGCTATGAAGGCAAAACACTCGTACATGTAACATAAAAATAAATACATCTTTAAAAGAAGAGGCTGGTGGACTTTAAGATATCACACAGTTAGTAATTTGCAGCTCTGATTATTCTCACTCTCTTCCTGCCCAACTTCATATGAAGAGATGTCCTTCCAGTCCAAGGCGATTCTCTGACATATACTCTAAACATCTATCTCAAAATTAAGTTTATGGACAAGGTCGACCAATAACCTATTACAATTAAATAAGAGTAAGAAACTCTGGTTACTATTGTGTTCTGTTGGCTGGAATAAAGGATTTTAAATGTTTTTGTATGAAGTATAAAAATATTTGAATTGATGATATGTTTGTATTTATCATAAAGTATTATGCACATCAAGACATCACCTTATACTCTGTTAATATGCATGATTTTTTTTTGTTTTAGTTCTTTAAGACAGGGTTTCTCTGTGTAGCCTTGGCTGTTCTGCACTTGCTTTGTAGACCAGGCTGGTCTCCAATCCGCAGAGATCCACCTACCTGCCTCTGACTCCTGAGTGCTGGGATTAAAGCTGTATGCCACCACTGCCTGATATATATATATATATATATATATATATATATATATATATATATATA